AGGACCAATTAAATTCTTGCTTTTCTCCATGACGAGCAAAGAGAGACAGAAACTTAAGTCCCAAACTAAGAAATCAAGATTTTAAGCAATTCTGGACTTGCTGGAAGAAACAGCAAAAACAATGCCGATGTCCCAGGCCTGGAGCAAGTCTGAGTCAGAGCGGAAGATTCCAGAAGGAAATGGGAGAGTCGCACAGGGCCGGGAGGAAAGCAGCAGGTCAGCGTGGCCTGGAGCACACAAGGGCACGTTCCAGAGCATGCTCAGGAGTGTCCCAAACCTGGCGGGGTCACTTCAAGGGCGTGGATGACCGCCACAGGGGGCAGGAGGGAGGCAGGCTCTTTGGTGGCCACTCCAGCACTGCTTGTCAACGACACGTCAGCATGAAAGCCTCCAAGACAGAAACTGGGGCTTTCAAAGGGCAGGGTGCCCTTCTCCTGGCACCTGCTGAATGCAGTTCTGCTGGAGAAGGCCCTCTCTACCCTGGGAATCCTCGGGAAAAAATGGAAAGATCTTCCCAGGGACTGATCAAGAGAGCCTCTGAAGAAGGCTGCCTCACGGCTCAGGCATTCTCAAAGGTGAGAGGCTGGGGATAGCTCCTCATGGCCCTAAAGTGACCCTTGGGGGCCCAGTGGGGTCTCCAGGAGAACCTGCAGTGAGCCGCCCACTTGCCCAGGTCCCTGCAGCTCTGTAGCTCCTGCTCTGCTCCAGCTGCCACCCGGGACCCTCCCCGTGTGCCCCAGCCACTGCAGCCGAGGGAGTGTGAGTCCAGGTCTCCCAGCCAGGGCCCTCTCCAGGTGCCACTGCCCACCAGCCAGCCTCTTCCCGGGTGGCTGGGTGCGGGTGGCTGGGTGGTCAGGAGAGGCAGAGGATGAGGCCAACCTCGGCAGCCCCAAACTGAGCCGTCCCCCACAGTGCCTTCCTGTTCCCGAGTCACTGTGCTTCGGGGGGTCAGCGCCAAGGCTGCCTCCTCTGTCGCTGGTCCCATTAACAGACTCCTCTCAGCCACCAAACTGTACTATGGACTCTGTGCCCAGAAACGAAACCCAAAGCAAGGTCGAAGTTCTGTTCCCTTCTCTTTGGTACAATGTTTGTCTCTGCCTGAGACCGTGTGCGGCGTGTTTCGGGACCTGGCAAAAGCAGTTTGGGAACCTCAGACCCTGCGCCACGCTGACCGCAGAGCACCTCAGGGCCAGGCTCTGTCCAGGCCGCGGTGCCCTGGGAGCCAGGCACCATCTGACCTCCAGGAGGGCTGTCCTCACTGAGAGAGGAAAGGGTGTCCAGGCTGCTCCAGCTTGACCTGTAACCAAGGGGACACAGTCTATCCCTAACCAAGGTCTTCGTGGGGCTGGCCACGTGTATTTCCAACAGTTCCAATCGAGAAGATGTGATTATGGAAGGCAGTTCCTATTCTTTCTACATCCGGACAAATACGTAGAAATAATTGCTTCCAGACCCTTTCCCATGACTCCTCCCGGCGCTGGGCGCCCGTACCTAATCCGATCCTTCTCCCCACCTGAGGTCCGACTTCACCCTTGAATGCATGTGACTCACTGAGCCTGCGGCACTCAGCTGTCTCTCTCTGTCCTCCCGCCCACACAAGCGTCCCCTCACCTTCCTCAAGTCGGACCCTGTTCCAGGCTTCTCCGAGCTCCTTTCACGGGCGTGTCCTCAGTTGGGCCCAAATAAAAAACTCGTTGCTTAAACATACAAAGGTTCAAGTCTTCTTTTCACTGACAGTGCTTTGCAGAGATGCTTAGGAAGGCTCGGAAGGTGGGCCCAGGTCCCTGAGCTGAAACTCCAAGTCCAAGGCCAGGGGACGTGGAATCAGTCCCCACAGGCACCTCTCCAGTCCCTGCCACACGCAGTTTCCAGTCTCTCTCTGAGGGGCGTGAGGGCAAGTCTGTGCAGCCCTGGCCAGGGCCTCCCTTCTCCAGTTATTTCCAAATTCTCTCTCCACCCCTCAGCCAGGTGGGAGAGCCGGACTTTGGAACCTCGAGCTGTAGGGCATCAGTGTTAGGGGACGCCTCCGTCCTGTGGTGGCAAAGGCTGGCGCAAGCCCCTCCCGAGGGGCCGACCCCACCCATCTCCCAGTTTCTCCCGTGGTGCTCAGATGTGGGGTTACGGAGCACACGGCCCACACGGCCCCCGCAGGCATCCCACAGCACTAATGGACCGTGCCACCGGAGCTGACGCTAGGCCGAAGGGGCCCCCACAGGCGCTGGCCAAAGAAGCACTACATGGGCAAGTGGAGGAAGACTCCAGTGAACTAAGACATTTCTGGAAACTGTTCTTGTCATGGGCTGCACTGTGTCCCCCCACATCTGTATGTTGAGGCCCTGACTCCCAGCAGATTCTCAGAACGGGACATTCTTTAGAGAGGAGGCCTTTACAGATGTGAGCGAGGTTCAACGAAGCCACTCAGGTGGGCCCTGATCCAACACGACTGCTGTCATCATAAAAGGAAGAGACTGGGACACAGGCACACGGAGGGACAACCACTCGAGGACACAGGGGGAAGGCTGGACCTCCACACCAAGGAAACCGGTCTTGGGAGAAGGCAGCCCCGCGCACGCCTCGCTTCCTGCCTCCGGGACTGAGAGTGAACGGACTTGTCTGAGCCCTCCAGGCCCCAAAACTGCACTACATCTTATTTCTGAGATTAGGAGGAGGAAGTGATCAGGGTAAAGGGCACACGGAAGCAAGTATGGACCCAATCAACCTCCACTCCTGACAGGGCTTCCGGCCTCCAAGGGTGCCCCCGGCTCCCTGTTCTTCTGCATGGGGAGAGATGAGCAAAGCACCTCGGGGTGCTGCTGGCCCACCCCGTTCCACAGCGGGCACCTCAGAGACAGGCGCATACTCCCCGTCTTTGCTGGTCCTAAAACGGCCTGTGAAGCAGCATTACACCCATTCTACAGATGAGGCAACTGAGCACCAGAGGCTCATTGCAGATAGTGGCCTCTTCAAGGTCACTAACCTGATGAATGGCCCCCTGCTTTCCATGCTCCCCGTCCTGCCACGCTCCTCCTGGGCCTCATAAACCTTGAGGGGAGGAAGTGCAGGGTTGGGTTAAATGACAGATAGGGGTGTCTCCCCCTACCCCCATGACAAGGGGAAGGAGATGATATGACATGACCCCTGCCCCCCAACCCCCAGCCTGTGTCCCATAAACGCCAGCACAGGAGCCCACAAGTAAAGATGCTGGACTCTAGGGAAACCCTGACCAAAACTGCAGCTGTGTGCTTTAGAAGCACCTCCCCAGGTGAGTGGTCTGGAGGAGGCGCCTCCTCTCCTCTGAATACTTGGGAAAGGATGGTTTCGGTGTGCAGGCTGAGGGTGCATGCCTGGGAGTTCAGGAACGAGGGGCGTCGCTGCAGGACGCTGGTGGGCAGAGGAAGGGGACGGCTTTCCCAGAAGAGCGTGACCACAGGTGGACGGGGCGGAGGGGCGGGGCAGAGGGCACAGGGAAGCCAGCAGGGAACTGCGCACCTGCCGAGGGCAGTTCCCACGGCCCCCTAGCCAAGGCCGGGCCGGGGCTGCTCCCACCGTGGCGGCAGCAGGCTGAAGCTGCTCCCACAGCCTCCTGATTCCACCTTCCGGGCTGTCCCTGCTCCGCTCCAGGGACCCTGAAGCTCCACGTGCCACCACCCCAGTAGAGTCCCACCCCAGTGGCCCTGTGCCTGCCTACCTGCCGTGCCTCTTCTCTCCACTCCCCTCCCCCAGCAAGCTGGGAGTGCACAGGTATTCTTCCAGAGCAGTGGCCAAGAATGGGCACTGTGGGACAGCCCCAGGTTTGCACCCAGACTATCCCCACGGGTCTGCCCTCTGCTGGCCAGAATAGGAGGGGCAGGGCCCAGACCCGTGGAGCTGCTCACACCATCAGGGGTGGCTGGTCCCTTTGAGCTTGAATGCTTGTACCTCTCCACCTTCAAGTCTCTGCTTCACTATTTCCTCTTCAGGCTTTGGCCTTGGCAGTGTCAGGTCGGCCCTCAAATTCTACACCAAAGCTCTGGCCCTTCCCATGGTCTTTCTGCCCAGCCTGCACCCTGCAGGAGGCCCTTTATGTCCTGTGGGGCCCAGCCCTGGGACCTGCCACGCCTGCTCCTTGCTCAAATATCAAACGAAAGGTGGCAGTCCACGACAGTCCCCACTTTGCCAGAACCACTCAGTGCTCCTGCTGGGCCACAAAGCAAGGAAGTGCCCAGCACCGTGGTACTACCTCTTTCCCAGCATGACACCCCACTGCCCCCACAAGGGCCACCCACCTCATGGCTGCAACAGGAAGCAGTAAGTGCTCAGCCAGCGAGCCAGGAGGAAATGGTAAACCCCTCACCAAGGACGGGCTGAGGAAGGTGCGAGGAAAGCCCCAGAGGACGACCAGAATGGAAAGATTTACACATTTAAGAGCAGCTTCTAAAGCCAAACCCTGAAGGAGCCTCAACTGGTCTGTGGGCTTCTTCAGAGCCGGCACGTGCAGGTAGACTTTCTCTGCCCCATCTCCCTCTGGCGACCACCTCCCGGAGTGGTCAGAGGCAGGACAGGGGCCCTCTCTAGCCAGAGGGGCCTCACTGTCCGTGAGCTTCCTTCTCCTCCCTCCCAGCATCCTGACCCACAGCGGGCAGGGACAGAATGCGGCGCCCAGCAGGTGAGCACTGTAAACGCCTGCCCATTCTGTGTCCTTCGCTCCGAGGCAGCGTCCCGGCCAAAGCATCCTCTTGCCCCCAGAGAACCCCGCCCGCTGGAGCCCGCAAGCGGGAAGGGGTGGCAAATGCCGGTGCGCAAGGCATGCACCGAAGCTTCATCCTAACTCAGCGCTCCCGCCCGGGGACGCCTGCAGGAGCCCACCAGGTGCTCCCAGCCCGTGTCCGGCTCTCCGCGCTCCAGACCCGCACCTGCGGCCACCTCGGTGGCCCGGCCAAGGTCACGCGGGCAGGTCGCGGCCACTCCGCCGCGGGTCGGCGCGGCGGTGCGCGGGGACACCGCGCGTTACGTAAGCGTACCTGCAGCGGGAACGTGGCCGCCCGGTTGCCCACGTAGCCGCGGACGACGTGGCTCTGGATGGAGAGCACCCGGCACTCCTCCATGCCGGCCTGGCAGGGCGACGTGAGGCCGTGCGCCTCGGCGTCTCCCTGCTCGCTGGGCTCGGGATCCGCTAGAGCTCTGGCTCCGTTCTAGCCTCGCTTAGCGCAGGCGCTCGGCTCGGACGCCAGGCCGTCTCCCTGTGACCTCAGCGCGGCTGGGAACCCGCGGGTCCCGCGCAGCGCCGGGGCGGGACGGGGGCGGGGCGTTCAGACAGGCCCCGCCCACCCGCCCCTCTTCCGGGAGTAGGAAAATCAAATCCGCGTCCCACCCTGTCCCCACGCCGTCCCCTCTCGCCACCCTTCCTCCAGGCCTCGGCGACCCACGCCACTTTGCTCTCCTGCCACATGGGCGGGGCCCGCCACCGCTTCTCCCCAAACGCTGGGTTTGCACTTTCAATTTTATCCAGAAAGGGCACCGGTAGCGGCGCTCATTCATTCGAGTCTTGGATTCATTCATTGACTCTTGCATCAGGATCGCCAGCTCTGTGCCCCGCCCCCGACCTCCGGCCCCATACTCGGGGCGGGGGGGGAGGGGCCGCGGGACCACCAGCGGGTCTGATAGGAACAGCCACGAAGGAAATGCACAGGCGCGGGGACGCGAAAGTGGACGCGGACGCGGTGACCGTGGAGGCGGGCGGGGCTGGGAGTGACTGGACTGCCCTTCTTATGGCGCTGGTCCCCACTCCAGGGATTGACAGGGCCGCCGAGACCCCCGCAGGGCCCAGAACCGGCGTCCGGTTCACAGCCGTCCCGGGGACCACCGCGCAGACCAGCCCGAGGACCCACGGACCCCATGTCCTCCCTGAGAACCAAGGACCCAGGCCCAACCTCCTCACCCTCCTGGGCACACTCGCCTATGGGTGGCAGAGCTGACCGAAGTGAGGCCAGCGGGCGCCCAACGTCTCCCAACAGGCCTGGTGGGGACTGACATCTCCACAGCGCCATGAGGCACCCAGTCCCCACCCCTGGCCAGGTAGCCAAGGGGAATCTCTGTCTCAGGGTGCCCTGGCTGGACCATGTGGCTCATGCCCGCCCCACCACCCATGACCTGTCTCCAGGTTCAAAACAGGCCTTCCAGGGGGCAGGCGCCCAGCCCCCCCTCATGACCCCCTCTTCCTACCATTGCCACAGCTGAGGCTCCCTTGGTGGCTGCCCCTGCCCCTCCCCCCACCTAAAGCCCTTCAGACATGGTGACTTAGGTCCCTGATGGTGACTGCAGGCAGCTTGTTTAGGCCTCTCTAGCCTGCTAAGGAGGCGGCTTCAGGGGCTGGCAAGTGCTGGGATGGCGGGGAAGCAGGGCAGTGCCCTAGCTGTCCAGGTTTTGAAGAGAAAGTTAATAATTGTTGGTTAACAATAGCTAATATTTACTGCGCACTTACTATGTGCTAAACACATTTCTCACATTAACACATTTAGTCTTGCAATCACATAGAAACTTCGTTTCTTTAATACAATTTGTCTTTCTTCCCTTTTGGTTCATGCTGGCCTCCTCCAGCACGCTGGCTCCTCCCTTCACCAGGAAGCCCTCAGGAAACTGACGTTCTGATCAGTATCGAATGGTCTTAGGAACAAAGCCTGGGGTCTGTTGAAGGGGACTTTCGGTGAAACTGGAGATAACGTATCAGCTGGAGGCCCTGCGTGAAGAGCAGTGACACTGCGGCACCAACGGCCTGGCTGACATCGGGGCCAGAAGCACTGATCGTCACCCCTACCCTGGCACCAGCCAATGGGTAGGGACCACAGTCCTAACCACAGCCCTCACTCCCTTAGCCACCACGATGCACAATTCTCCCCTGTGTCACCCAGCCCCTGGAAGCCATCAGAGAGCCAGCTCTTTGAGCAGTAGCTCCCCTGTGACTCCCAGCCAGGTTGCTTCCTAAAAATAAACCCTCACTTGCTGTGCTGCGAGCTCCCATTCCTGTCTCACTGGGCTCCGATGCCTGCAGGCAAACAGACCTCTTCAATCCTGTAGCACTGTGCAGGGAAAAGGGGCCATGTACCAACCCTGGCACACTCAGGAGAGGCTGGCACGGAGGCCCTACAGACTCAGAGGCCGGCCGAAAGTGACCACACAGAACGGATGACCTGAACACCAACATTCTTAACAGAAAGCAGGCCACGGTGGGAGTGGCCTAGGACGGTAGCTTCCTGGACAAAAGCCCATCTTTACCTTACGTGAGCCGGGCATTGCCTTTCGGCATCTAAGATAACATATCTTGTCAAAATAATCTCCTTTTTTTCCAGGCCCCTCAAGGCACAACAATCTCCCCTCCTTGTTATCTTGTTGCCCAAATACCACAGTAATTGTTCCTTGTTAACTACCCTGTACCCACGAATGTAAGAGAAATGTCTTTTCCTTTTACTCTTTGTCCAGTCGCAGAGATTTCCCCGCTCTGCTTTCTGCCCGCTCCCTGACCCACCACCCGGGGATTTCGTGTCGCTGTCCTCGCCCCTCCTCGCTTGATTCTCCTGTGTTAAACACCCTGTAAAAGCGCCCTTCCCGGAGCATTTTCTCAGTTCCGTTAGGAGCGTGCTTCCCAGCAACTGTTCGCTGGCTCAAACATGCTAAAAAATTCTCTACCGGTTTGCACAATCTTGCTAAAAAACAAAATTCAACCAAGGAAATTTGAAGATCCAAGTACCTTTACTAAGCAATTCACGAATCAGGCTGCATCCCACCTGGTAACGGGAAGGGCGCTGGGAGGGGCTGTTCCAAATGCAAGGTCATAGGCAGGAAGAGGGTGGGACTAAGCGGTTGAAAGAGCGGGTTCCTTCAGGCCAGGACACCTTCCCTTGGGAGAAGGTAGGGGGTCTTATCAGGCAGATGACTAGTATTGATTAGTCATCTCCCACCTGATTGGTTTAAAATTCCACGTGGCTTATAGCATTATTGACTTTACCTCCCTTTTTTTTTCTTAACGATCTTCACAACCATTCTGTATGGCAGGGGTCAAGGTCACAACTAGTGACGGTGTTGCTGGGCCAGAGCCCCGGAATGCATGGCAGCCAGTGGCCCAGCCACTGCCCTTACGGCCCTTCTCCTGTGCCTGTTCTGTGAGGTCAACCACCGTTGGCTCTTAGGAGGGCTAAGGGATCCCTCTGTCTGTGCAGCTGACGTCAGCCCCTCCTGACCCTGATCTGTCACTGAGGTCCCCTCCTCTCCCTAGGGAAACCTCATCCTCAGTCCCCACCTCCTTAGCCCTGCTCCTTGATGGAATGCCCAGGTAACTCAGGGCCGAAGTCCTGAGAAGGGGGTTTCAGTGAACTCACTTTCTCTTGGGCTTTCTGGTATCTGTTCCTCATTCCCAATGCCTATGGTCCGCAAGCTGGCCACATGACAGCCACCTCAGGAACCTGGTAAAGTAGCTAGGACCCAGCCCTGTCCCGGCCCCCTGGACTCTCTCATCTCCTCAAATGCTTCTGAGACCACCCAAGTTTGAGGCACTGCGGAGGGAGCTGAGTTAATTCGGTATTTATATGAGCACTGTCAATTGCCAGTAATTAGCAGTCCAAGAACAGACCTCTGTCCTGGATGCATCAGACAGTGCAGACCTTTCAGGGTGTTGGCCATCCAGGTGATGGATGGGCTGCCTCACCTCTATCATCATGAGGTGCAGAGCTCCAAAGGACCCCTCCCACTCATTCCCACGTCCCCCAGGCTGCTAAGCAGCCTTTTCTAGGAGACAGTACCTCAGGGGCAGCCCCTGGGCTGGGTAGGAAGAGAGGCCACCATGAAGGATCCTTGGGGGTGGGGTGGCCAGTGAGCCCAGTGGGTGGGGTCCAGCAGAGGACCTCTTTTGTGGTTTCCATGAGGAAGGCCAGGCCAGTCAGGTAGGCAGGATGCATATTGCCTGGTTGAAGTAATGTGGGCAGGCTCTGGGGCACCGGGGCTGCCTCTAGCTGTCTGCCCGCCTCCCCCTGCCCCCCACCACAGTCCTGGGGTGGTTAAGGCAGAGGGTCAATGCTTCCTGGAGGGGAGGGGCTGGGTAGAGGCCGTGAGTGGAAGGCGGGCTCCGGATTGGTGAGTTTGCACGTGGAAGGCACCCTTGCTGCCTCGAAGAACTAGCTGGCCCTGGGAGGGGTGATCTCTCCCAGTCAGTGAGACCCCCGAGGCCAGAGCGTCAAGAACACAATTAGAAAATGCAGTGTGTTGGGAACCGCCCTGCCTGGTATCAGAAGCTGTAACCCCTGCCAAGGCTAAGGCTGAGGGAATGACCTTGGACCGCAAGCCAGCAAGGAGACAAAAGCTTATCTCCCTGGCAGGAGCACCGCTTCTGCTCCTTTTACTTCACCCTGCCTGGCCCCCAATGCTTGGTCGGTTAGCCAATGACGGGAAGATTCCCCAAGGGGGGAACGATCTAAGACAGGCATGATCACGTGGGAGGCCCCCAAGGAAGGACTTTGGGGGCTACAGCAAAAGGGGGTGATGGACCCTCGCCCCTCGGCTTTGACATAGCCTGAGTCCACATTGTCTGCGAGAAAATCTCCCAATCTCTTGGCTGCCTTACTTCCCTTGCTCCACCTAAGTCTGAAACAATGACAGGGTGGTGCAGCTCTGTGCTGGAAAGGGTGGGTTCCCCGGGTGATCAGGCCTAAGAAAGAATATGTAAATTACTGTGAAACCTGCTTTGTTTAGAATGCTCTCAGTTGAATGATAAGGGTCCAGGGAAGAAGTAAGTTTGTTCCTTAAAGTTTTACAGCTCTTTGACCCTGACTCAAAATAGGCCCTCAGACTTCCTTGTTATCTATTGTTTGATCCTTACTTCCTAGCATTGAGTAATGAGCTTTTACCTGAATTCTTATGCAAACGAAACCAATAAAAAGCCTCTCCAGTGGGGGAACAGTGCGCTCCCCACGTGAGGAGTGGCCAAGCGGCACCCTCCAGGGGAGAGGGTGGCCAAGGCGCTCCCCACCAGAGAGAGTGGCCATTCCGTTCCCACTTCCCCACACGACCTGGTTGTCGCTGTGCATGTTTTTCTCGTGTGTTGACGAGCCAACCACAGCGTTCCGCGGTCACTGCCGGTCGGTGATTGCGTCAGCAGTGAACGCACTGGGGTGAGCGCTGGACTCTGGAGCCACACCGCTCAGGTTGGAGTCCAGTTCCTCCAAGGCCGTGTCGCTTTGGAGGGACAAGGTAGGTCGAGCCTTGGACCCTGAGTTCCGTCTCCTAAAA